TTTTTTTTTTTTAAGAGTCTTTCACTGTTTATTATCTCAATTTTTAGATTTTAAAATATGCTTATCATTCTTGTGAGGACTGTTACCAAAAGAGTCTTTCACTGTTTATTATCTCAATTTTTAGATTTTAAAATATGCTTATCATTCTTGTGAGGACTGTTACCAAAACCTGGGTAAAGAGGCATCCATCATTAGGGTTAAAGGCTGCCATTTATATTTATGTGGCATCTCACTCAAGATATTAATGGACTGAAGCTTAAATCAGCCAAGTGCATTTGTATCTTTGCTCAGTGCATTTGTAGAACTGACAATAGCTGAACCTGAAGCTGACAGACATCAAGTACTATTTTTACCTCAAGAAAGTTTGCTGTGATTTCATTTACTGCTTCAAACTTGAGAACTACCCAGACTTCTATTGAAGAAAAGAAGACAGAAGCTCTCCCAGGGTTAGATCTCTGTCACTAAAACATTTCCTATTACTGACACTGTGGTTTTGATCTTTCTGCTCAGAGCCAATGATCTGGATGTACTCTGATAACTGACCTGTGTAGTGCTCCTGGTATAAGCCTTGTGGAAAATGAGATTTAAGACTTTATTCACCTTTAGTTCAAGCTTTGGTATGGGTAATGTCCAATTACTCAAGTGGAGTTATTCTGCATGTATTTATGACACTTTTCTCTAATGCAGACACTAACAATTACTTCCCAGGTTTTTCACATAAACCTCCTCCTCAGATTTAAAGATGTGTTCTTTAGAGCTTTCAGATCTACTGGCAAGGGATGGTTTCCATTTGATGTATTTGAGTGTGAAAAGTGCTTTGGTAATGGGCTATGAAAGATAGGGCCAAAAGTGAAATTTTGGCTTCTGCATAATTATATATGAAAATGGAAAAAAGGGTTAATTAAGAAACATTAAAGAAAAGACAGCAAGAATTAGAAAGACCTCAGGACCATAAAGATGCAAGAYATCACATATAACTTGCAAATACATCAGTATGTATTAAATTAATTGTATTTTGAAGTCCCTTTTCTAATAATAATTGATGTTACCCTGCTGCTGTGGGAAACCACTGCTAAATGMTTCTTTTTTGTTTATTCACAGACCCCACAGCCAGTTGAAAACTACATCAGTGAAGGAGAGTTTGAAGACGATCTGAGTTCTTCTACCCCAAGCACAACAGAGCTGGAGGTACGCGGATCCAGCCAAGAAACAGATGAAGATTATTTTGAAACCGTGTCACATCAGAGCGGATCTTTGTCAGATGTAAAAACTGAGCCTTATGAGAGTGCATCAGACACAGAATCTCTTTCCAGTGATGTAACTGGGAACGCTTGCTTGGAATCAAACTGCCTGTTTACTGAAAAAAAAMCCCTGTGCTGTAATCTTCCCAAAGAAAAGGCAGAAACCTTCCATGAACTGAAGTGCTTTGGGCAACCAGAGTTTACCCAGCACGTACAGCTAGAATTGGTCTCCAAAATAAAGGAAGCCCCAAGCAAAACTGAATTTTGCATACAGTTTGCAGAGGTAGAGGGTGAAGAACTGGGTGATGAAGAGCTAACATTATCTGGTGATATTTCCATCACAGCGAGCCAAGTCTATGAAGAGGGAATTTTATCACAGACAACTAGAAAGTCTGTAGCAGCACTGCAGAGTAAGGCAGAGTTAGAAAGCAKTGAAGTGCAGTCCTGTACCARCTCAGTACTCACAGAAGATGATGTTGCAAGGCTGAAGGAACATCCTGCAGTATTTAGCATTGCTTGTTTCAAAGCAAACTCAGAAAGCTGTTTGATTTTTCCTGAGGTAAAGCAMTTTTCCTTCCAGACAGATGCAGCATCGAGCTGTAGTTTGCCTAATCTCCATTTTGAAACAAATGGACCTATCTGTAAAAGTCACACTGAGACATCTGACTATAGGTRTGAATTAGAGTCTATGTCCAGGATAAAATGCAGCAGGAGGAATTCAGCTGACAGTGAGGAAACTACAGGTAAAAGGATAAACCATGGAAGCACAGAGACCATGTTGACATCAGATTCACTCTTCTACCAGAGTTTCTTCCACCCAAAATCTTGGCTACCACACACAAGGTCAGAGATTACAGAAAGTAAAACATGGCACAGTGTACCTGAAAATATAAGTGCTCAAAGCGAGACAGAATGTGTGGGGAGCTGTACTCACCCAACAGACAAATTCAGATGGTCCTGTTCCAGAATACATCTTCAAGGGCTGGATTTTGAAGACACATGGMAAAACTTAGAAAGGGTACCTGTAAGCCCTGAAAAGGCTATAGAAATAGAGGGCCAATTTGGCATAAAAACATCTTTTCTTGGTACTGACACAACTTCAAAGGAGAGTCAGCTTTCTCAACCAGCAGCCTCTCCCCAGTGCATTGATTATTATTTGCACTCTGAATCMGAGACCTGTGGCCTTAACCCCGAGCCAGCTGGTATCTGTGCTGACAGTTTAACACAGCTGGATGTTTGTGAGTGCAGTCCAAACCAAAAGGAGACCCCCTCTGCCCTGGACTGTGATCCAGAGATCATAAATGCTGAGGAACTTATGAAAAACAATGAGTACAAAGCTGAAAGAGATCTGCAAGCAGGCAGCTTCCCTTGTGATACTGATGTTGAATCGGACACTGGTGACACTGAGAACCTTGCAACTTCCCACATAGGTGCTCCTACTGTTGTGGAAAACAGAGATTGTGATTGTTCAGTAAACTGTGTTTCTAATAGTGGAATACAGCATGAAAGTCTGAAGGAGAATGGCCTTGAATCTGAGCTGTCAGATATGGAGATTGTGGCAGGAGAAAGAGGGGCAGATGATTCTTCTAATCTTGGCTTTGGTTGGGAAGTCCTGGAAACTGCAATGCAACCAGATGGCAGTGACAGTGGGGCAGAACATGAAGAGTCAGTGCAGCAAAACACAAGTTGCAAAACTAGTGCCTTAAGCAGCCACTCGGAGCTAGGAACAAATGAACACCCTACTCATAAAGGAAAGGATGAAGAGAGTGTCYTTGCTGTGGAAAGGACTCCTAGATCAGATTATATAAAGCAGGGAGGGGATTTAATGACTCTTCCAGAATTAAAGCCAGCCCTAACTGTAGCCTCTGTAGAGGAGGAAGGATTACAGTCCAAAACACTGAATGATAACCTTCATGCTGAAGTGGTAGCCGAAACATTGAGAAACGTAGTGAGYGAGGATTTGATGTCTCCCCATACTGTCAGCAAAACTCATGATGAGCCAGAGATAGCTCYGAGTGAAAGCTGTAGCTGTGAAGAACAAATTCTGGCCACCCACCCCATTCCTGGCAGTGCAGATGTACTTTCCGGTGGGGATACAGCTGAATTAAAAATAAAAGTTTCAGAAGAGAAAAGAGAGAAAACAGATACAGCTTCATCCTTAGGGTTCACCTGTAGTAATTCCACAATAACAAATGCAGAAGTGGAATCCAGGAATGTTGCGGTACCACTGGACACTGATACAATTATTGGAGAAAGTCAGACAGATAGGTGTGAAAAATCACTCACAAAATCACCCAGTGGAAGCAGTGTGAAGGGCAGTGATGCACTTACTGCAGAAATTCAGGCAGATCCATCTGAAAAATCCCTCATAAAATCACTCAGTGGAAGCAGTGTGAAGGGCAGTGATACAATTCCTGCAGAAAGCCAGGCAGATCCATCTGAAAAATCCCTCATAAAATCGCTCAGTGGAAGCAGTGTGAAGGGCAGTGATGCACTTACTGCAGAAAGTCAGGCAGATCCATGTGAAAAATCACTCATAACATCACCCAGTGGAAGCAGTGTGAAGGGCAGTGATACAATTCCTGCAGAAAGTCAGGCAGATCCCTGTGAAAAATCACTCATAAAATCACCCAGTGGAAGCAGTGTGAAGGTCTCTGAGGAAGAGCTCTGCAGAACAAGGACATTGGTTACTGGTGCAGTGACACTGGAAACCAGCAGCACTGTAAGCAGTTTGTGTCAGGGAGATGGTGCTGATGACAGCCTTCAAGGCAGCAGCATTGTAAAATCACAAGGTAGAAGTGGTGTGATGGCCTCTGAGGAAGAGCCCTGCACAACAAAGACTGGTTTTGAATTAAAGATAGAACAGTTAAGGAAGTCAAGCTTTAGACACCCTGGAACAAGCGATGACCAGGTATCTAAGGAAGAGGAATCCAAAGCACATCAAAGCATAGAAGAAAGTTTAAATTTAACCAGTGCAGTAATGCTGGAAACAAGCAGCAGAGCAGGCAGCTTTTTTCAGGGAGAAGGTGTCAGCCTTCAAGGGCCCAGSATTGTCTCTGAAGAAGCAGTAGGCAGGCACAGAAATGAAAGRTGGAATGGCTTGAAGGAAGGAACAGGTATTTGTGAAGGCCCCTCTTCTAGGGAAGGAAAGCAGCGSTCTCCTGCAGAAGATGCCTTCAGCCCCAGCAAAGACAGTGCACTCAGTCTGGATGTGGCTGATGTMTTTGATGAGTCTCTGAACAGGGAGAACCACAACACTTGCATGCTGGGCCTGGATAATGTCAGTACCTGCAGCACTAACAGTGAGGAACTGGATGAGAACTCATCCCCCATCCTGGGAAGTAACAGCAGTCTTCATAAAGCTGTACAAAAGCCAACAAAGAATGACAGTAGTGGGAAAGCTTCCAGGTTTTTAGTATTCTCAAAAATGACATCTTTCAGGAAAACAAAACCTTTGTTATTGGAAAATCAGGGAAGTAGCATTTTCTTTGGCAGCAAGGGAAAGATAGAAGAACTGGATGTTGGGAAAGATGATGAAGACACTGCAAGTTTACTGTCTTTCAAAAGTTGTTCATCTGGTTTAGTCTTCCACAGGAAGGAAAGTTACACCTCTGAGTACTCTGATGATGATGATTTATTTTATGAGAGACCTKCAGGATTATTCAACAGATTGAGCCTGAGGAAGGCCTCTAGCTCTGGTCGGATACTGATGGAAGATGCAGATCGACAAGTTTCAGTTTCATCTGAAAACAATGACAGTGAACCTGTGGAGTATTCAGGGATTAAAAAATCATGCCCTGAAAATGAACACAAAAGAAACAAAACCCCTGAGGGTAAGAAGTTCAGGACAAGGTTGGCCTTGGCACACAAATCCCTTTCAAGTTTATTTGAGTCCAAATGTCCAGAAAAGGAAAACACTGAGCAAAGCTCAAGAGTACCAGTGAAAAATGAAAAGGAGAAAGCCAAACTTCGCCAGAGCACCTGGAAAGCTTTTCTAAAAAACAAGGAGGCAGATGGACTAAAAAGGCCTGTCTTAGCAAGTTTATCATCCACACAGGCGAGTCTTAATGCAACTGGTGGCCATGTGTTAACACCAGTAGAGCAACAGCATAGTTCCAATGGACACACTTTTTTAAAAACAGAAACAGATAATGGCTCCTTAACAGACTCCAACTATTTTGACAGCTCTGTGGAGCCTGTTGATGTCTCTTCAGCTGCAGGTATGTGGAGAAGACGAATACAGTCCCATGACTCGGGCATCAGATACTCACGGAATTCTGACCGTGATGAACAGCAGGAGGTTCTGAGTAACAGTTTAAATACGTCTCTAGAGGAATACTGGATGAAATCTCCATTCAGCCCCACTGATTTGCAGTTGGCATTCAGTCAGTCAAGTCCTTCGTGTCCCCAGCTCTCAAATTCTGATGGTAAAGACATGCCTTGTAGGCCCATGAGTCCTAAACCTCAGAGTCCACGATCCACTTCTCAACACAAGAACTTCCGYTACCCTGGGAGAGTATGCGCCACTTCGATGATCTCTCTTGGGAACAGCGCTGGAGTGGAAAGCAATTTGGAGGCTCCCCAGAGACCAAAGACACTGAAACCCAGAGGAAGTCTCTTGCTGTCTATGCACTCATTGGACCAYGACTACCAGAGGGATGACAGTGGCATAAGCAGTCAATCCCAGATCAACTTAAATACAGCGTCTTCCATTAGTGACATGCTCCGAGTTGAGGTGAGTTGGGGAATGGGAATGGTCAGGGGGTGGGTTGGTTTGCAAGTCTTTACTGTGGTTTAGGGATTCCAGTGAAACTCTTTAATGGCTCAATGAGCACATTGGTTCCATGCCTGCATAAACATTCCTCTTGGTCTAAGATAGGTAGCACTACTCATTCCTACTGTTTCTTTCAAGACTATATGACTTGATGCACTCTGAAAGGGAGGATTTGCTACTAAAACCCAAAGGAATGGAGCAATCACACTACCAATAAAGAATTTACAGGCATCACCCTGTGTTTATCTCTAGTTTTAAGCTGAGTTTTACCTCTCTTAAGGCAGAATTGACCCTTGTAACTGTGTACAGTAAATAAGTTTCTCATTGTGAAAGACAACAAAGGAAACAATTCCTATGGCTAGCAGTCACTTTCTAAGTAAAATCACTTTCTTAGGCAAAAGTACCATGTCATTTGAAGTCACCATAACTGCCCCTGTAAATCCTTTTCTGCCTTTTCTACAATAGACAGAAAAAAAAACCCAAACCACAGAAAAAAACCCCAAACTACAGAAAAACCACAGACTCAGGGTCTCCTTTTTATGTTGTACTAGGTTCTAATCCAGGTAACATATTAAATSCTTGGCATAGGCTGGATCTCATGGAACAGATTGTATCTTCAGTAGAGATTTCTTGATTGGCTGAGACATCTAAAAGCAGAGACTTCATCCGTCAGTAGGCTTTTAATCCCAGAGAGGATTTCCCAGGTTGTAAGTGGTTGGGAGTTTAGGAATCTCTTTCAGTGGCTAAGTACAACCCCCCAGAGTGACTGAGACTGAGCTGTAACTGAGATCCCAGAAGATGCCTTGATCACACYACTTTTTCAGTATTATTGCTGATGAGTTTTGACATTAAGAAATGGGAGAATAATTCTGTTGAGCAGATTGTCAAAAGTGGCACTTGAGAGAGTGTATGAACTTCTGCATACCCCAAGCAGACAATTTTCAGAGAGCTCATTAATCTGGAACTGCTTGATCAATTCACAACAGCTGAGTGCTTGTGATCAACTCAAATGACCCTCACACAGCTTTTGCTGCTGTTGCCTTTGGTCTCTCACATCTCAGCTTATATCAAAGTTCTAAAATACCCTCCAAGATGGTCCTATACTATATTTTCTCCTTATTTTTTTTAATAGAAACTCCCTCTTTTTTATATTGAAACAAATATAGGCAGAACCATGGCTTTATCCAGCCAAGTCTTGAAAACCTCCRTTGCTGAAGGTTTCCCTGCCTCTCTGGGAAACATATTCCTTGAGAATTTTTTATTCCTAATGCCCAGAAAGAAATTTCCAAGCTGTAGTTTCTGGCCACTATCTTGAGGCATTGTCTCTCACTACTGACAGGAGCTTTAATCCATCATCTGTATAGACACAAAATAGTTGGTGACCCCTCTTACATTGTCTTTAGTGCCCTCTTACCAGCTTGAACAAACCCAGCTCTCTCAACCTCTCCTCACATATTCCCAAATGAAAGTGTTTTRATTGATTGGCTTGGGGTTTTTATCTAATGCTATCTGGAATCCAAAGAAGGGTTTGGGTGGAAGTTTGAGAAGTGAGGGCTGTAGTATCAGAATTCCTGGGGGGAAAAGGGGAAGAGAATTAGCTTTATTCCCTTCTATGCTCATCTTTAATTGAAAATMTTTTGTTTCCATGGGCATCGACTTAACCTACAAACTGGATACCACATTCCAATCAAGAGACTCCAGCCTAGGAAAAAGCAGGAGACTTGACTATACACACTGTCAACAGATGAAGCCTCTCAGAGGATGAATAAAATCATTGACCTGTAAATTACAGCTGAAAAGAACATCTAGAAAATAATGTAGAGATGAGGCATGTGTAAAGCCTTGAAAAGACAAGCCCACATGCTATAACATAACCATTAGGAGCAAATAAATAATTACTTAACTTGATGGCTAGATTAAATTATTCAAAGAAAACTATAAAAATTTAAATGGTATCTAAGACATATAAAACCAGTTTAATTTTCCTRATTCTTCTGGAGGCTGCAGAATATCATATCTGAAATTCCACAGATACAGCTGGAGCCTGGAAATTAATGTAAATGTTCCAGCTTTCAAAACACAACATCTAATCTAGTAAAATAGATAGGGCTTTATTTATTTCCATTTTCATGACATTGTGAAATGAAGTAGAACTGCACCCTGGATTTTTAAAGTAAAGCTGTCCCTGTGTTTTCAGGAATTCCTGAAAATACAACAGACATTGGGTAAAGTACATTTGCAGTGTTAAATCTTACAAAAATAATTATCTTCTATAGGCTAAGGATGGTCTTCCTTATGTATGTTGCKTCCTAAAGAGGACATAAAAATCGGTTTATTGGTGAATTTGAAGAAAATTCCTTTTTCTGTTCCACATCAGTAAAGACACTAGTGCAAAACAAATCTGTAACTGTGAAAGCCTTGAGCTCACTTCCCTGTGTGCCCTCCAGTAAGGGGATTTGTGTATATTCCCCAGCCCCAAGCAGGTATTTCTCCAGTTGTGTCATCATTATCTGCATTGCAGTGCTGTGCCAAAGTGCACTGGATCAGCCTGCCCTGGACACCTCAGGTAAGTAACTCATCTTGGCCTGGTGGAGCACACACCAGCCCCTCTCTCATGACCTGTAATGGTTAACATTCCCCAGCTTCCATCCAGGACAAAGGTTTTATGCTGAAAACAGCAAGACAGAACAATTACCAGTTTGCCCATCTGTCAGGCCCTTCACKACATGTTTAATTAATCTGTTCATGGCACGATTTTATTTGCATAATTGTGTTACTCAGCAGGCAAGAGCAAACTGTCCTAAAATGTCCCGTGTTTGGAATTCACATGCTCTTTTCCTTGCTCCTGTCCAATAAGGTGGGGTTAGGCACAAAACACTTTTTTCATGGAATCCTTGTTTCTAGACTGTGGTATCTCTTACCAGGGTCAAAGAGAATTGATCTGGAATTGTTGGTTATTTGAGAATAGATAGGAAGTGCCTGCAGTGGTTTGAGGATTGTTTTATTTGGGTTCTTCGATTGATCTGTGAGAAATTGGACAGATAGTATTGTTGGGATCTTTTATTTTTTTGTCATGGAAAGAGACTCCTGAGCTCACTGATTCCCTTGTGTTGTTATCTCCCACCTTAAATACTATTGATTCCAGCACTGATGCTACCTGTAGCAGTAGCTGGATGTCTCAGGGCACACTTGATTTCAAATTGTTTTAGTATAAAAACTGTAATTTTGTGCTACCACTCAAGTGASAGTGAAGGGCAAAGCTGTGCAATTCCTCACTCTTGGCCTAGCATCAAACAAATAAAATAAAAAGTGTAAAGAGCATGTCAAAAAGCAAARGACTTAATATATCAGACCTGCAGGCATCTACAAAGCTTTTTCACATTGTATCACTGAAGTACAGTTGGAAAAGCAGACACAGACAAGAGGTCATTTTTCTATTTTCAGAGACATCGCCTGTCTTTGTAAGTAGTATTTGATAGTGACTTAAATGCTGGTAGTAATGTTAGTGTGATTTGCCATCTAGAGTGAGGGTGAACAGGCTCTGTCCTGGGCAGAAGGAGTATCTACTGCACTCTCCAAGGATAGCAGAGCTGCTGCTTCAGGGTGGAGCACTCCTAAACATTTTCTTCTGACTAATTCTGTGGTGAATAACTGAGCTTTGCCATCTTCTGTTCAAATTGACTTGAAGAAAACAAAATTKTCATCCAACAAACCCTGTGTTTTCACCTGCTGTTTGTAAAACAGGAGTCTAAACAGCACAGTCAAACAGCACCTGAAAAGAGGCCAAATAAGAAATGGGTTCCCCATCGCAAAAGGAGGCCACCCCAGGTTCCACCATCACCATCCCCATGCCCTGTCTCCACCCTGGACAGCAAAGCCCGGAGGCTTTCCTTCCTTGCTGCAGATGAAAAAGCCAAGGACATTCCAGAGAGGACGAGGAAGAGACCRAAACCTCTCTATAAGTGCTTCAGCTTCGATGATGTTTGGATGGAGAGGAGCCAAAAAAGGAAGCTAGAGAAGGAGACACAGCCAGAGRCAGGGGTTCAATCGCAACATCTCCCAGAGGACCCCTTAAAAGTAAGAAGCCGTACACCGACCTCCTCGTTCCCTGGCACTGTCCTGTCTGCTCCGGCTGCTTCTCTGTGCTCTCATCATATTGCTGTCCTTACACTTTGTCTGGTACCACTTCTGTCAACTTTTCTGTGGGCCTGGTACTCTGTGGAGACTGATGAAGCATTGAACTGGTCCAGAAGTGATGATGTCTGAAGGTGGTGGGTTTCTTAGTCTCTGTAAGTGAACAGTTCCTGCCCTGTGCGATGCTGGAAACAGAATGCAAGAGCATCAGGTTGTTTTGTGAGCTGAAAGACAGGRAGGGCAAGGAGCAAGTCAAAGTTTCCTCCAATCAATATAAATTAAACTGATGAAATCTCATTCTCTGCTCTGTGGTGTTGCTGTGTAACTTTAATAACGGACTTCTAAACTAGAATTCCCTTAAACCTGAGGCCAACTCCACAATTCCTATTGAAGCAAATTCCTGCTGTGAAATGCTCAAGAGAACATTGCCATTGGATTTTTAGCTATTAATATTCTCCTCTCCACTGAAGGAGACTTTTAGTTCAGCATTTGATTGCTTGTGAAAAACTTCGTGGCTGTTGTGACTCACACTGATGGCATCTGTTACTTTTGGATCCAGAGCCAAGGTCTGTTCCCTTCAGGGAGAGTCACAAATCTGTATCCAAGAGCCAAAATTAGCCTTGATACATACAAAAGAACTGGGCAAAAAGGACATGAGATTAAGGGATGCTCTATGCAGCCTCTCACGATAAAATTGAGAAAGTTTTTGATCAAGCTTGAAATCACGTAGCAGATACTCAAATAAAAGCTTGCCTCAGGGGTTTCTATTTTGGTCTGTTATCTGTATTTGTTTCTTTTTCTCTCTGTTGTCCTGGTTGCCTGYTTGTCATTGTTCTGACATTAGAATGACAATGTTGGAGGGGAGCTGAGGCCTCAGTAGTCCCATCACCATTTCAGAACATGCTTGAGCTTACTGCACAGATAGTTCTGTGAATGGTGAAGGGGAAACATTGGCCTGCCCACTGTGTCTTGCCCAGAGAAAACCTGCTGCCTTCTGCCTGTGCACCTGGGAGAGCTCTCATCAAACTGACAGACACCTGGGACAGGRAACCAAGCCAATTCCAGAAACAGCGTTTCTGAAAAACTGTCCACTGTTCTCCCCTTCTCAAGGAAAGAGACTAAAAACTGTGCTGTTTTGCGTGTGTCAGGCTCTTCAAAACAAAGTGTTGCCAGTTGCTGCTTGGGTGTGATTCTGTGATGTGTTTGCTACTCTCAGTTCAGTGAGGATGCTTCCCTGGCTCAGCTCCCTACTACCTATGTGATGGAGACGATGAGTAATGCTCCTGAGGCATGTGTATGTTAGGATAAACAATAAACAAAATTAAATTATTTAGGTTACTTTTCTAGCTCGTTCGAAGTTGTGAGTGCTTAGTGCTGTACAGGGATGAAGCAAGCAAGGTAGTGAAAGTGAATGYCTGATTTACATAGGGTCAGGGATTAACAGCAATCAGTAAAATGTATGAATAATATTTCTCACAATTCCTTGTCAAGCACGGGCAGTGATGGAAAYCTAGCCATGCTGCAGGGCATGTGGGCCAGCACTGAGACCATTAGCGCTTCTAAGAGGAGTGACCAGTTCCCTCAATAGCTTCCCCTGGAGCCATCAGATTACACAGCTTGAATGCTGTCTGCTTTGCTGATTGACTGCACATTTGGAGGCTGCCAGAAAACAGCTTCTCCTTGAAGCATTTCCACCCCTATTTTCTGGTGCAAAGGTACCTCTAAATTGCAATCAGCTGCCCGATGATTTGCAGCTGCCCCTGTGCCCACAGAGACCTCTCTTACCATCACCTGCCCGGGGGCTCTTAGGCCTCAGTCGGTTTTCTGGTTCATTCTTCTCTGGGTAGGAGCATGTGAGTAGATTTGGGGGTTATGGTTTCTGTCTATTTGTGTTATGTAGGTTATTGACACTTTAATCTTCGTGGGCAGGCCAAGAAGACAAAATGCTGTTTTATTGAGAGGACTGCTGGGATTCAAGGGCTCTTTCTTATGCCCATATAACTGAATTTTTTGGCCTGTGCTTTTTATTTACAATAGTAATCACACAGTTTCTTTTTCATATTGTTCTATTCTGTCTTTGCAATGCTCTAGTCCTGTAATAGTGCTGGTTTATTCACACTCCCAAGTGTCTTGGGAGAGCTGTCACAAACTGCAGTGTTTGAGGGCAGTTTTAGAAGGATGCTAAATCCCTTTTAATAAGAAGAAACAAATTATCACAAAAGAAGCTTTGTAAGATGTTCWTTGTCTGTTGTGGTGTTGTGACTGCAACAAGGCGACTGTATGGGGCTTTGGAGATCTGAAATTACAAGTCTGATGTTTTCTGACACAGCTGCCTTGGGATGTGTGGCTTCTGTTGTGACAAGTCACATTGTRTTAAGTCAAGATCAGGTCAGCCCACAAGGTGATGTAATGCTGCAATATGGGGGAAACAGCTTAATAGGGTAGAGCACAGAGGAATTTTTGATTCTTCAAGTGCTTATTTCTGATACTACTCTATCATTCAGATCAACGCACACAGAGTAGTATAATGGGAAAATAAGACTGCTCAGAGGGCTGGCAGTTGGGACAGGGAAAAATGGACAAACAATCAAGAAACTACCTATAAACTAAAAAAAAAAAAAAAGAAAACAACAAAAAAAAGCCTTTAAAATGCCAGTTTTAAACAATTCTGTGTATGTGGATTTTTTTTTTTTTTTGCTTAGGCCCAGTAAGCAGCTTTGCTTCCTTAAATGGGAACAGCCTGTGTCAATTCCCAGTCAAACTCAAAGCTTGACCCAGCTGTCCCTTWTAATGAGATGCTGCCAGTAACAAGCTGAGCAGCGTCTGATCTTGGCCCTTRAAGTCTTAATAGAACACCCCCATGSTGCCCACCCCAAGGGGAAGCAGAGAAACATAGCTGTAGACCAATCTCTATTCTTTTGCTTGGCCATAGGCTTTGCCCTTCACATGGTGATGGGTTTCCTGCTGCAGCCTGGGGCCTTTTTGCTTGTTTTTAGTGCTATATAAGTTCCCTAACTGGAGCACAGACAATGCCCCAAACCACTGACATATGGAATGCTGTAATGGCAATAGGCTCTGTTTTRGGAATTATTTTTGCTCTGAACTGCCTGTCTATTCCCATCCTGTGCTTTCCTGTTCTGACAAAAACTTAAACTCTGGTTCTTAAGCTTGATGCCTCTTGAGTGTGCAGCAATAGGAGCACAGACACGGCTTCTACATGCATTTGTTTGAGCACAGTTTGTGCACTGCCAAATTAGAAAGATTCCTAAAAGGCCCATCAGGGGGCTATACCCAGAGGGGGTATCGTGCAGAAAAAGCTCTCTTTTATTTTGAAAGAGAAATGAGAAGCAGTGAAAAATAGATCTTTAGCTTATTGCCCTGAATAAGACTTCTGGAAATCTGATTTTACCCTGTTCAAAATAAGACAAAACAAAGTTTTGTTGTGTGGTGCCATGGTTTATGAGCATTGTGGACACCTCAGATACACTTTAAGAGGGTAATAAACACACTTTGAAGAGGCAATTTAATGAGAAAAATCTCTCCCTGTTGTRCACCTGACAAGGCATGGATTCACARCAGAGGTAAATGCCCCTGCCAGGGACTGAACTGCTGTGCATAAGAACATAGAAATAACCCTCTGGAACCTGTGGCAGAAAATATAGGAGGGAGGATCTKTTCTGTGGTCTGGTCCCTCATTTCCCATCCTCTCCTTTGTGGGCTGTGCAAACCCTGCCTGCATATTTCTAACACCACTGAAAATGCTTCTTCCTCTCCTGAGTTAGGGTTGTACAGGCCTGGTTTCCATGCTATAGCAACCAATGATGCCTGTAYCCAAAATTTGCCCTGAGGTCCCAGGGATTAATAAAAACGAAGTTTTTATTGTAACAGCCTTAGGCCAGGATTCTGCTTTCTAGTCCTAAACAGAACAATAATTCTTCCTATCACCTTTCATGTAAATAACCTAGACTTCACCCTTGACATTTTCAGAGCTGTGGCCCAGTAAGTTTTCTTGCTTGATTTTCATTGTCACCAGAAGAGCATGCATTCCCAAGGGGGCTTTGCTGTTACTTTCCTAGAAAAACAGGCACTGCTCAGGTTAATTTGAACAGGGTTCATGCTGTCCCTCAGGAGATGGYGATTAGTGCCAAAGTATTGGCTGTGTTCTCTTTGTTTTAGGAATGTAAGTCCAGGAAGAAACAAACAAAGCAGGCACAGAGCAGCAGCACTCTCAGCTGTGTGAAAGCTGTGTGCTGCTTAGTTTTGGAAGGAGGATTTGAMTAATGGCCATCTACAGGAGAGGCTTCAGCATCATGGCTGGTCAGCAGACTTTATCACTATGGGACACGGTGTGGGTTGGTAGGGACAGAGGAAGATCTTAGATACACTACTGGACCTCAATATCCCAAGTTCTTGGCTCAGTGAAGGATRGATATGTTGTAATTGAGTGTCACAGTGCCAAAAGGAAGGGGCAGCAGTGATAGAGACAAAAAACTGGCTATGCCCATGGGACCAGGGCTTACTGACCAGCTGATCTCCCAGTCACTTACACTCACTGGTGTYTTCTGTGTGTGGCAGCTACAGGAGAGAAAAGAGAGAAAAGGAAAAAGGGCAGGTATACATTCATGACTACATTCTGTATTAGAGGCCATGAGCTATCTGTATGTATCTATATGTTTTCCCCTTTAAACCTTCGTAAGTTATTAATTCATTGAGATCTAGCAATGGTATAGAGTTTTCAAAGTTTCTTAAAGTTCTATACATTTTATAAAATCCATCAGCCAGGTAGAAGAGAGTGTGAGAGTGCTTATTTTTACCTTTMGCTGAAGAGAAGAATGTTATCCCCATTCTATGTGATTCATGAAGCTGCAGGAATAGTTCTGTAGCTGAGGGAATGACTTGTTGGAGTGATATTCTCCCCCCACCAACCCTGACACTAGAAACACTTCATAGGAAGGAGTGAARCTCTCTGTGAATGGAGATATGTGTGGTTGCATGTCATGCATGAATCCAGKATCTGTGTATCCACTTCTGTTGTTCATACCATGCCGTTTTCCTTGTCTTCTCACTGTTCTCTAACCTTTCCAGCCATAATCATCCATGTGTGTCGATGAACAGACTGCTTACCTACATGGGCAGGTACCAGGTGGGAAGAGGTGCTCTGAGATGAATGCTGTATTTTGTCCTATGGGGCATCTAAACTAAATGTTTGCTGCCTTTGTTTTCCCTCTCCTGTTGCAGGCTGGAATAAGTCCGTTAATCACRTCTCCAGTTGCCTTTGACATCCTGCCGCTGAAACTGCACCCATTTTCCCAGAGCACTCCGACAGGCCTGGACTGTGTGGGCTGGAAACGGCGCATCTCCGCTCCTGGTGTGTACACTGTTGTGGCTGGATGTGAATGCTGAGAGAATGAAGCTCTGGTTTATTGAGCATGGCAACTRTGTGATAAGCATTCTAACCTGTTTATGATGATTGCTGCATTCATGTCTGAGCAAAAATCTGCTTTAGAGTTTAATCTTTCATGTGCTTTTCATATTCAGGTTTGTTTTCTCCCTGAGTGGATAARCAGGGTGCTGTTTAAAGGCAGTGGTCAGCTTTTTAGTGAAGAAGAGATCACTCATGGCAGATAGTGTGCTTARTGTAGAAACATTGTGTTGTCTTGTGAGAACTCTGTCTCACCTACGCTRATGTCACCTGTATCACACTCTTGAATTAGGTTTCTGCAGATGAAACAGACTGTCGAAMGTGTTTGCTGGAGAGCACTGTGGTGGGTATGATGAGGTTCCTCTCAAGTTGCTAATTAGGCACTAAAGCAACTAAATGAGCCTCTAGAGACAGAAGTTTCCTGTACTTTAAATCCCCTTAAAGAACAAGTACGCTGTGTTTTCATGAGGAATGTGCATGAAGTATCATGTCTGCTTCATTTCTGATGACTGACACTTTCTCAGAATTAAAATGTAAGTTGCACAGATTATTAAACATTGAGACATATCTTTGCCAGGTTTTTAAATTCTCCATCTGACAGTGCCTGCCCAAAAACTGCAGATATCTCTATCACAGCACTTTGGGGTGGAATAAGAAAAACAGAATGCAGAGGAGTTGTTTGGCCATTAGGAATCAAGCCAGGAAAAGCCAGCCACAGTTGGGTGCCAAGCTGCTATTTCTGCCTCAGAAGGTCTCTGTACCATCGATTAAACRCTGCTGGAGTTACCTAATTAAGGGACAATAACAATGTACTAATTACATCAGAGTTGAATGATCATAATATTTTGTCAAGCAAAACTAGTTTGCTTTCTGACACTTTGTGSAGCTCATGCACAGAGTCATGAGGTTTGATCTGAAAATAAGAAAACAAACTATTTATTACTGTGGTGTTGAGAGCCTTGCCTTTGCTCTCTCAGCACTGAGGGCTTTGATCACTTGCTGTCACAAGCATCTGGTGCTGCCCCAATGCTTAGGTCCAGCTCCCTGGCTGAATTAAAAAAGCTGCAGCTTTACTCCTTGGAAATCCCAGATGGAAACCCATCATTGTCAAGTTGTCTGTGYATCTCTGACATTAGCTGAAATCCCTGAGCACTGCTGTCATAGAAGTAAATTCTGAATCACAGCTGAGACRAATTTCATGGTAGTTCCCAACTGGGACATGAGGAAGTTGAAAAATATGTATGAATTTTTGAGGGTGAATAGGGGAATTAAATGTATACAGCCAGACCAGCTGGCAGTGCTGTAGGTATTTACATGCTGTCTAGAAATTGGGCATGCAACCTGAATCATCTGTGATTCACACAGTATTCCTGAGATAGGTACAAATGAATTTCATACCATCACCTAAGCCTGGACCTCAAGAATTTCTGAGTAAATGAAATGGAGCAGAATCCTTTTTCCACCACCAAAACCATGCTCCTGAGAAMCTGATGGAGAGAGGAAGCAGAGCTTCTTCTACCACAGCCATCTCTGTTAGATGCTGCCTGTGGGCTTCGTTTGAAGCATTTTAGGGGAGATGAATATGTGCATGTGTCCTTCCAGTGGTAGGAGTGGGTGAGAAGACTGCAAATTACTGAAGTAATACTCTGAAGTTGACGGATTAGTTTTAGGATTGGCTATGTCCTTGAGGCAGCAGTAGTGCAGCAGAATGCCTTGTGATTCTTGCACAGTTTTGTTGAGATACCTGTTGCTTTTGACAGAGCAGTAGCTAATTTGAAGATTTAGCTGCACCTGCTTGTATGAATGATCCCAGTGTATTCTTTAGTCATAAGAGACACTGGATATGAAAGTAYTGTGCAATATCCAGTGCTACTAGATACCTCCACGTTGAAAATTTGGGTAAATTTCCCACTCCGAAGTCTGCACCTGATCASTGTGTGCAGGGAATGCTGCAGAGACTGTGGGGTATGGAGTATGGAGGCCTCTCTAGTTCTTCAAGTGTGAAATGATGGCTGTCATGGTCCCAGCCGCAAAGATGCCATGTACAGCTCTCACACTCTGCCATGCACCTACCCAGGGTCTGGGACAAGAGCTGGGGACATTCTGACTGTCCGAGGACAGGCTGCCTGTTCCCTGCTAGAACACAACACCGGTGCGGGGAGGCGAGTTGAATTCGAATGCTGTAATCTGCTGTGCTCGTTTCCTTCCACTCCGCATCCGAGTCGGAGGCATCGCTCTCGCTGGCGTTTTTGCCAGGCTGGCAGAAACGGGGCAGGCTGAGAGCTGTCACCTGGCAGCGCCAGCCGCGGCAGCAGGCACTGCCCGCCCGTCCCCTCCGCTGCCGCAGCCGCTTGCCGAAGCGTGCGGCACCAGCAGGTGGCTCTGACCCCTGTGAAATGCAGCGCGGTGCCAGCGCTGTGTGCGATGTGTGGGGTGGGCAGAGCCCGGAGCCCCCGCCAGGCAAGCGGGGAGGCTGAGCACCCCTCCCACGCACGGGTGCACACAAGCACTCCGAGGTCAGCCACCTTTTACTGTCCTGCTCAAACATCAGGAATTAATAATTTGGAAGGGCTTTCTTGGCTGCGCCCACACTTCAGCCGGTAATATTGAATATCAGGTGTCCTTCCCCTTTAGTTCACAGAATATTCTGATTTGGAAGGGACCAGCAAWGATCACTGAGTCCAACCYCTGGCCCTCCCCAAGAGYCACACCCTGTGTCACACCATTGTCCAAATGCTTCTTGAACTCTGGCTGTCTTGGTGCTGTGACCASTGCCTGSGGGAGTCCATCCTAGTTCCCAACCCCCCTCTRAGWGAAAGATCTTTTCCTAATAKCCAACCTAAACCTCCCCTGCYACATCTTMAGGCCATTCCCTTGGGTCTTATCACTGATTGTCAGAGAGAAGAAATCATTGTCTGTCYTTCTGCTTCTCCTTGCAAGAAAGACTGATGAGGTCYCCCCTCAGTCTCCTCCTCTTCKRCTAGTMGGGATATTCCCATGCCTTCRTTTGTCCTTTTCAGTRTCTTCCTTACTGCCCRTTTAGGAAGCAAGCCACTTCCTAAAGTAGATATGGGAATGCTTTTCTGCTTTTTAGTAGCCTCTGAAGACCTTTTGACACAGGTATCGCACCAGGAAAGGGGTAGGAGGGAAGGGTCTCATATGTACTGGAGTGAGCCTGTTTGCCTTTTAGGCTATGAGATCTATCTTCTCCTTCCCCATCTCTCCAAGTCTGATATTTGTTTATTTATGAACTGAAGACAGCCTAAAATTGGCAATTTTTCTGGGAAGCTGCTTGGACAGTGGCTGCTGCTGTGAGAATGTAGCTACAACAGGGCTGAAGCMAGGAGATGGGCTGTTCTGGGTGTAAGACTACCAGCTCACAGGCCTGGGGCAGAAGGGACATTGAGAGGAGATGCTGCCATTTCTGAGTTTTTCCATAGGGACTTTACAGCAGGAGGCAATCACAAGGTGACACAGTGACAGACAGACACCGGTAATTGTCTGAGAATTGGAGTTTCTTGATGTCTCTGCTCTCACTGCTATCCATACTTCTCAGCCAGAGACTTTTCTATTTTTGTGCCAGCTTGTTACCCTTTCCCAGATGTTGTCCTCATGCTACCTCTCAGAGAATCTGAAACTTTTGGATAGGGACAGGGACACACACATGACCATAAACCTCCAGGGTTTGTCATATCCTCATAGAGAGGAAAAGCTGTATTACAAGATTGGTTTTTAGCTATGCTGAACAAATCTCAAACCTGTATTATTTAAAATCTTTATTTAAATGCAGATAAAATCTTTTTGGCAACTTTCCACATATCTTGTCAGATTCAAGTAGGCTCAGATCTTTCAATTTTCTGCTCTCAGATGTCTATGAGAGGTGCCCTGGAGTTACACCACACAGCTGTTGTTGGTTGTGCCAAGCAAAGAGGCATGAATTCATCGTGCCTGATGTGTGCTGATGATGAACATACTGGTGGCCTTGGAAATCTTGCAACAAGAATAGGCCAGCCAAGTTCTCAAGGGCTGAATCTTTTGTGGATAGCCTGGAAAACAGTGACCACTTAGTGATACTGAGCTACCCTCTGGCCTCCCTGGTGKAGCGGAAAGTATTTCTCAGAGGCAAAGGGACTGTTTGTTTACTCAACATCATGTGGATAACTTTCATCTTCTTTTCCCAGCTATAGATGTGCTGTTAAACTCACACTTGGCAACAGTCAATGTGAAGATGTTTGACAGCCACAGGAGAAATCTGTTCAAGAGGGAAAATATTAGCTCAATAACAGGACTTCATTATGTCTTATAAATATTTAGCAGTCCTGTAGTTCAGCAAAMTAGCAAGCTGAGTTATTTATTCCATATTTGTCATTTTAGTTCTTGAAGGGACAACAGAAGAAAGTGGTATGCAAGTTTCCAGAAGTGTATCATGGTAGCTGTAGCATGAAATGTCCATTCCATCCTCATTAACTAGAGAAGTATAATTGAATTTGAGTGGCTAAAAAATAACTATGTGCCTACTGTATACTTTGTCTCTTAATCATAGAAAGATTAGACCCACTATGTCAATCTTGSTTCTGTTTAACCACAGTCACAAACATTTGCCCTGTGTGAGGTCTCTGATAACATGTGCTCACTCAAAGGTGTTCATCCAGTCTTAAAAGCAGGGCCTGGTGGTGCCTGAGTTCCTGGAATTTTGCCATAGCAAGTTGAGTGGGATTGTATGTATGAGCTACTGAGGTGGAAGATGTAACAAACCAATAAAAACTTCCTGTGGGGCAAAAGAAGAAGATCCCAGCAAATCCTGAATGATTCTGGTAATCACTGATCAAAGTTACAAGATTACAAGGGAACCCAACATAGGCTAAAAAATCCAGCAGATACTTAGGATCAGGTTATCCAAGGCTATCCAAGGCTAGCTTGATTGCATTGACCAGGCTGTGCAGTGA